TCTCAGTCACAACTATTCAACTCTGCCACTGCAATGTACCAAAGTAGCCATAAACAATACGCCAATGAGTGGATGTGGGTGGGTACCATTAAAACTTCATCTATGGACACTGAAATATAATTTTATATCATTTTCTTATATCATGAAATATTCTTTGTTTTCAATGACTTAAAAATGTAAGAGACATTCTTAGCTCTTGGACTATCCAAAGCAGATTGTGGGCCAGTGGGTAGTTTGCTGACCACTGATACAGAGAATCTTTCCCAAACGTGTTTTCATGCTTAATGGGACGTCCATCATGGAGACCAGCATGACAGTTTGGGTCATAGTCTTTGGTAGAATCATTCAAATTTCCATCACTCTGATGGCAGAGACATCTGCCTTATGTCCAGACCTGGTCTTTTCTGCTTAAACTTAAGCTCCTTTGTGCTTTTTTCACCCTTTAGAACTGAGAAATCATCATGAGGGTTATCTTTTACAAAAAGCCATTATACATTTGAAAACAACAATAAAATCATCCCTTCCCCAAACCTTCTCTAGTCCAAACAATACTGGATTCTTAACCTTGCAGCCTAGTATATATATGGTAGCCCTTCAATCATTCTTGTTGCTCTTCTTTAAATTCATTTCCATTTCTTCACATCCTTCTAAAAGGAGCTGACTCAGATGGGCATAATATTCTGATAAGAGCATGACCAGTATTGAGCAGAGTGATTTTTTAGATCTGGTGTCCCATATGCTTTTCAGTACAACTAAACTCTGTTTGTCTCTCCTTCTCTCTTTCTTCTTTTCCTCCTTTCTTATTTCTTTCTCACCTTCTTTTGACAAATACTTTTTATCACTATAACACAGTGGTTCTCAACCTTCCTAATGCCGCAACCCTTTAATACTGTTCCTCATGTTGTGGTGACCCCCAACCATAAAATTATTTTCGTTGCTACTTCATAACTATAATTTTGCTACTGTTATGAATCGTAATGTAAATATCTGATATACAGGATGTATTTTCATTGTTACAAATTGAACATCATTAAAGCACAGTGATTAATCACAAAAACAATATGTAATTATATGTGTTTTCCGATGGTCTTAGGAGACCCCTGTGAAAGGGTCGTTCGACTCCCAAAGGGGTTGCGACCCACAGGTTGAGAACCGCTGCATAACATTTTGATCTATGGTCACTTTGACACTTATATTCCAACTCACCTTCCACCTCACAAACATACTGGAATTTTGTTTTAAATTCTATACTCCCATTGAGCTATTCTTTCCTTATCATGCAATTGTTTTACCCCAAAAGTGTTCCCAACGTGTTCTTCATATCTTATAGCTTTCTCTACTGATACTGGCTAATTTTTTAGAATTTTTCTTTCTAATATTTCAAGATTGTTTTGAAGTTTACAATCAGAGACTAATACTAGTATTTAGCTTAGTAATATCTACAGATTTAATTAGTGATATCTAAAAACCTTTCTTTAGATTTTTAATCATGTTATTAAACTCATATAATTCCACCACTAATTCTTGCAACTGCCTTGACTATGAGCTTCTAATTTGGAACAGGTTAGTAATAGCTAGCCATTGAGAACACCACCCCATATTTTCTTAGCTTATGAAAAGCATGCCATATACAGTAGAAAAAAAACATTTATTGAAATTAAAATAGGTAGTATTTTATAAATGCTTCTTATGCTTAATGATATCATTCTGTCATAAAAAAAGAATTAAATTGGTCTGATTTGTTTTTATAAAGTCAGACAGCCAGTTAAGCTCTTTTAGAGATTTCTGAATTATAAAATGATTATTTCTTTTACTTTATCCTAAGATATTGACATTAATTCTACGATTTTTAAATATGCTTTAGGAGAAAAGTTGGGTATATTCCCTGATGTCTCAAAATTATTACTATTAACTCTACATTGAAATTTCTCAGTCTCTTTAAATATTGCTCGAAGATATCATTCAAACTCAACTAATTTCAAAATACCCACGTCTTTCTGTATATTTATTTTCCCATTTAAGTTTGATTCAGCCTTTACAACTAGAACTTTCAGCAGTCAAATGTATATACTAAATCTTTACTATTGCAGGAAAATTTAATCTATTAAAATATTTTCTCTTAATTATATTCAATTATTATTTTTCTTTCCCTTTATTCTTGAAAATAAAATGTACTCTATATTCAACTAATTTTGTGTAATATATTAGAGTATACTTGTCCTTAAACAAAGAATTCAAGCTCTATACATTTCTCTCAATTTTGTTCTAAAATTGTTCTAAAAAATAAAGTCTCTTTTTAAAAAGAAACAAATTTTGCTGCTTTTTAAAATATCTCTATTTTTTAGTTGCAAACTTTAGGCTACTTCCCTACATACTATGTAGAGTCTGATCTATCCAGATAGAAAAATATAACAAAAATCATAAGAATATCTGCAGCCTTCTAAGTTACTTTCTCTCAGTTCTCCCTCTCAAACCAAAGAGAAGAAAAGCTGTGTTAAGAATGACCAAATAGCCCTAACCAGTTTGGCCCAGTGGATAGAGCGTCGGCCTGCAGACTGAAAGGTCCCAGGTTCGATTCCGGTCAAGGGCATGTACCTTGGTTGAGGGCACATCCCCAGTAGGGAGTGTGCAGGAGGCAGCTGGTTGATGTTTCTCTCTCATCGATGTTTCTAACTCTCTATCCCTCTCCCTTCCTCTCTGTAAAAAATCAATAAAATATATTTTTTAAAAAATTTTAAAAAAAGAATTATCAAATACCTTCAAATTATTATAAAAATTCCTAATTGATCTTAAAGATAACAGCTGAATAATACTCTAGTCTCAATTTACTGACTCGTTTAAGAAGTCCCCTAGCTAAGGACAGGACCCCCACCATTACATTTTTCTGTGACAGTCTCATGCCACACCTTCCAAATTCCTAACCAAGTTACCTCAAACTTCAGATCTCGTTTTTTAAATGTTTAGAAGTGTAAGAACAGCATCAAACCATATAAGGTCTTAATAAATAATCCCAACAATATATATGAAATTTTTAAAAAGAAAATTATAAAACTCTATCAACCATATCTCCCCCACACTAACATGAACAGAGGTGCTATTCCTTCGCTTCTCCTGTACCCCACCCTGAGACTGTGAGATGGAGACCTGCCAATCATTCCTGCCTAACACTAAACAAATGTCTACATAGTTAGAGTTTGGCGGCTAGTTAGAGTTTGGCGGCGGATGGAGTGGTGGTGGGGGAGGGGGGGTGTGATTACAGAGAGAAGATTGCTGAAGAAAAGGATTCATAAATTTGTGTCTGAAGTCCTGGGCAAATTCCCAAGACGCCACTGTGTGAAACCAACCAAAATCAACACAGCCAGTGATTAGAGAATTGAACTCTGATGAGGAATACCTCCACATTTCAGATTGGCCTCTGGGTATGTACAAGTGGGGTGTATCAGTGCCGGGAGCCAGTCCATCCTTGCTGTTTCAAAGGACCTGAATATCATTGCAAAGGCTTTGAAGACTAAATTGATATTGGAACCACAAACCACAAAAGTGGGCCAGGAAGTGTGTTCTGAACCTAAACCTGTCAACTGCCAACGAAAATAGAAGATCTAAATAAAGAACCATAATGTCATAACATTATATTCAAAATGTATAGGATACAGTCCAAATTTTTTTTTGTCATGCAAAGAACTAGGAACATCTCAACTCAAATAAAAAAAGAAAATCAACAAATGCCAATATCAAGATGGCACGAATGTTGGAATTCTCTAACAAGGATTTTAAAGCAGCTATCCTAAAAATGTTTCAACAGACAACTGCGATCACTCGTGAAACAAATGGAAAAATAGTCTCAGCAAAGAAATAGAAGATATAAAAAGAACAATTGCAAGTTTTAGAACTTAAAATTACAAGAAATGGGAGAAAAACTCACTAGATGGGTGTGTGGTAGGTATAATCCTGGCCTAAAGATCTCCACATCCTAATCCCTGAAACTTTTGAATATGTGGGATTATTTGGCAAAGAGAACTTAAGGTTCCAGATGAAATTGTGGTTATTTTGACATGATTCTCTTTGAGAAGGAACGATCATCCTAAATTTTTCTGGGTGGGCCCAATGTTTTCACAGAGATGTAACAAGTAGGAGATGGAGGTAGAAGAGTCCGTCAAAGTCAGAGAAGACAAGATGACAATAGGGGTTGGAATGGTATGATGAATAACTTGAAGATGAAAGGGGCCATGAGCCAAGGAATGTGGGCAACCTCCAAAGTGGAAAGGGCAAGGAAATGGATTCTGCCCTAAACTCTTCAAAAGGGAACCCAGTCCTGCCAACACCTGAGCTTTAGTCCAGTGATATTCATCTTGGAGTTTGACTTAAAAATACATATGGCAAAATTTGTGTTGTTTCAAGCTGCAAAATTTTTAGTAATTTGTTAGAGCAGTAATGAATAACTAATACAGATACCATATCAATTCTCTTCAAAAGAATCCATAGATTCAAAATCAATTCAGCCCAGCTGGCGTGGCTCAGTGGTTGAACATCAACATATGAACCAGGAGGTCAGGGTTTGATTCCCAGTCAGGGCACATGCCCAGGTTGTGGGCTCTATCCCCAGTGTGGGGCATGCAGGAGGCAACCAATCAATGATTCTCATCAATGAAGTTCCTGTCTCTCTCTCCCTCTCCTTTCCACTCTGAAGTCAATACAAATACAAATATATATATATATATATATTTTAAATCATTTCAATCAGATTCTGAAAAGGTTTTTTATGAAACTTGACAGGCTATTTTTAAAAGTGTATTTAGAAGAATGTAGAGATAAAAAATAACCAAGGCAAAATAAAAGAACAAGAACTGTCATACTTTTTCCATAAACATATGGCCTCTGTCATGACTATTGCTTTGATTTTGTTTATTATTCAATTATTTAGAAACATAAAAAGTCATTCTTAGCTCAAGGGGTGTATTAAAACAGACTACCGATAGATTTGGCCCATGAGCCATAGTTTGCCAATCTCAGAATTGAAACATGAATAAGCCTCACAATCACACTAAGGAAAAAAAAAAGTTATAGATGAATACATGTAGTGTGGAACTACTCAAATAAGACTATGAAATATGCAAAATACTATTTACTCATACACACACATATAATCACATGCATACAAGTATACAGAAATGTTCAGGGATTAAATTACAAGCCCCAAATTCAGAACACTGGTTATTTCTGATAAGAGGAATGAGAGTAAGGACACAGGTGCTCTCAGTGATATTTATTTCTTAAACTGAATTTTTAAATTGTATTACAGATGCTGCAATTTTGTATGCACCTGACATAGTTCACAATATGAAACCATTCTTGGTAGATTTTTGCTCTGAGAGGCAAGGGACGGTTCCTCAAGTTAGCATGGGACAAAGAGATCTTCCTCAGTGGGTGGTGCTTTCCAAGTTCATCCTAGCAGAGGGCTCTCTATACCCACCCCATACATTTTGGACACCTGGTTTTCTGGAACCAGGAAGAGCAGGTCCAATTTGTCATTGTGTCTGTGACTAGGAAGCCTGGCTTGTCTCCCAATGACTAGAGGTTTTTCAGAAGTTTATGGCCACCCCTGCCACCCCTCAACGCACCATCCCCTGTCTCAGTCACTTTGGGGTTCAGGCTTTTAGGACTATGCACCAAGACCCTGCAGTCCGCCATCATGTCCTTTTCTAGTGCTCGGTACCTTTGGCCACACCCCTACTCCACTGAGTTCTAGGAATCTCCTCTCCCCTTTTACTCATTTATTGCTTCAAACTTTGGGGTATGGTAGGAATCCAGTATAGACAGAAAACAGGAGAAGGGGTCTGGCACAGACATTCTAAACTACAGCAGGTTGAGGGCCAGGATGGGGCTAGGGCACACAGCAGCTGGGCATGCGAGACAAAGAAGAGGACCTGGTCAGGCAAGAGTGGACATTAGGGCTTCCAAGAAGGACAGGCACATCCCAGGAAGGAAAGCGGACCCGGGAAATCCGGGGTGGGCAGCATGTTGGATTGAGAGTGGCCAGTGTCATCAACAGGAAGCTTCAAGAATCAGGGTATCAGGGTACAAGCTGCAGGCCTGGGTGTCAGAGGCAGAGATCCCCGGACTCATTTGAGGATAGCCGGGCAGTGAGAACCAAGACAGAGGGCCCAGGGGCCCAGGGACATCACGGGACTCTTGGGTCTGGGAAGCCTGCATATTACATCCCACGGGGTGAAAGGACCGAGCTATTTCAGGGCCGCCCATCTGCTGTCTGAATTGGTCCAGGAGCCAGGGCAGAGCTAACTGAGCCTGTGATGAATGGGGAGGCCTGGCCCAGGCCCTGCGATCTGGGGAAGGTCACAGGGAGGGAAAGAGGATCCCCCTCTGCTTATGCGTGTCTATTCCCGTGTCTATTCCCGACTCTCCCTCCTGTCCCTACCCGGGCGTTAATTATTTACACTCACATCCATAGCACATTTTTCAGATTCACTGCTGGTACAAAGAAAGCGACACAAAATGAAGTTGTGTTATTGTCTTTTTTAAACGGTGCATCTTTGTTGGAAAACTGCTGAAGTTTTTGAACTGTCTCCCCATCCGGCATGATGAATGTGGTACATGCGGTGTGTGTGTCGGGGGGAGGGGGGGGTGCGGCAGAGGGAGCGGAATCCGTGTCTGCGGTAGGCTACCTGCAGGCATCTATCTTTGCTCCCCCCCCCTCCCCCACTCCCACCCCATGCATGCTCTGAGCCTGAGGGTAAGCTGCCACTTTATTTTTTTTCTTTTGTAACAAATTAAGCTTCATTGTGTGTGTGTGTGTGTGTGTGTGTGTGTGAAGACTCTGGAAGGGACTGGGCAGTCTGCGGCCTCCCACACCAGCTGCCACGGCAGGAAGGAGAGGGGTGACAGCTTCCAGCAGATCCGGAATGACTGTTCTAACGGGCTGCGGCCGGCAGAGGTAACGAGCAGGAAGAAATTGGCTGCCAGGAAAGGCAGGCTCCCGCTCCCCCTGGCCTCCTGCGACAAGATGTAGCATTTAGCTTCTGGCTTCCTGCAGCGTCTCTTCCCTGCTCTGATTTATTCCCACCTTTGCAAGTCGCGGAGGGCTTTGCAGGAGAGGCGTTGGGCGCTGTTATCGTTCACTGAGGAGCAAAGCTGCGATCCCCACCAGGAGCATCTCCCGCGAGTGGGCGTGAGGAATCTAAGGAAAGGAAGAAAGAGGGAGCGAGCGCAGGCGTGTGGATGTGACGCTGGGAGGGGATGATATTTACCTGGATTGAAAACTCTTCTATGATGAGCATCGTTTAGATGAGAACGGGCCGCAGAACTCGGGCTCCTGGCCGGCCGGGAGAGCTGCGGAGAACGGCGGGCGGCCGCGGGGACTATGTTACTGTGTTTATGCACGAGGGCAGGATGCTCCGCCGGAGGGGATGCAAAGCGTCTTCGCTGGTTTGCTCGGTCGGCCTCTTTAGCTGAAAACGCCTGGAGGTATGGAACAGTAACAGTGGCGCAAACAGAGAGAACGAAAGAGCCGCGCGGGCTTGTGTTGGAGTCACAGATGCAGCTGCAGCCGGGAAAGACTCACCAAACCCTGGCAACCTCAGCACAGTGCCTGCCGGGGCCCGAACTGCGATCCTGCTTTCCTGCTCCTTGAACACGAGTTATGCCCACAGCTGCCCTGTTGGGTGAATGCTGCATAAGACAGCGGGGCTGTCTGCAAGGAGCTTATAGTTCAGTTGGGCAACAACACACACACACACACACATCATTAAACATGCAAGGCAGGACATTCACATGAGTTGCTGAAATGATTTAGATGCTAAGGACAATATTGGAAGAATTGAGCCACTCTCCAAAATTTAAATTTATAATTATATGTATATATTTTATGTACATGATAAAAAATGTTTACTTTTTTCCCCTAACACAGTTAGGAAGTCTCCATTTCCTTATTTCTATGATTTTCTCCATGTCAAAGCTACATTGTGGACCACAAAACTGAACGGAAGCATTTGTCTTCACATCCCGCCCACTGTGTGGATGCGCCCCGAGTGGTTCCGCTGTGGATTCCAGGTGTCATGGACTCCTCAGTGCATGGTGCGGACTGTTAGTGTCGGACGCTGAGCACAGTGTAAAGGAGATCCGAGAAAACAGTCAGGTCCGAGCTGGACTCTGTGCTAGGACAATGCCCAAGGTTTCACCTCTTCTCACATCTGATTCATGGGAAGTTCAACAACAGCAGGGCTCTTGTCTTGTCATCAACATTGTATCCTCCCACCCAGAGGGCTGGACAGATAGAACAGATACTAGCAGACCTGCTCAGTCAATATCTGTTGAACGAATTTGTGAATGAGCGAATCTGTACAGCAAATCTGTGACGCATGTTATTATCATCACCCCATCGTACTGATGGGGCCCTTAGACCTGCGGACTGAACTAGATGCACATGGTCACACAACAAATACAGAGTCACCTGTATTCTAAACTAATGAGGTCTAACTTCCAAGACCAGGTTCTTCCCACATTAAATTGTTTCTGAAAGGCAGAGGAGGCGGCCCACGCCTGCCCTCAAAGGGCTTAGCGACCAACAGGGAAACGGTGCTGAGCATGAAGAGACAAGCGCTAACAGCCCAAGGGGGGTGCGATTAAAAGCAAAGAGGATGGGCGCAGTGAGCACTGGAGCATCTGACCCTCCCGAGCCCTCCTTACGCTCACCCCATCCAGCACCCCGTCTCCTGTCTCTGGCTGCGGCCCCTGCCCCGCTCACTCCCGCATCCACATCACCAAGGGGAAGGAAAGGAACAACTGACACACTTGGTTTTGTCTAACCATGTTTTTCCAGCTCAACATAACCTAAGCAAAAGAATATAAACAAATACGCAGGCAGGTGTCTATAGGGGAGGCCAGGGAAAAGATGAATGTCAGTAGGCAACGTCATAGACAAAGAGGTCGAAACTGAAGGAAGGACCACTGTGCGTTTTCAGTAGAACCACTGGTGTCCAGCAACTGCCACATGTGGCAGATGTTGACCTCCACCAGCAAAATGGATCTGCTCTATGTGACATACTGTTTAATATTAAGATAAACTATTTAAATCAGATTTCTTAACGCAACCATCTCATCTCTATCAACAGCAATACCCAATCCAAAATCTGAGTGAAATCTCATGAGAATTCTACATAAATGCCTAGATTTCTTTTTCTTTGGAAAAAGAACAACAATCAACAGACCCTTGGTCTGAAAACCCAGAAGAAAGTGGGATTGCTCTCCTTGAATAGTGGTTACTCTGATGAAAATGGTTTTGGAAATAAGAAGTCAAATCCATTTTGAACATAGGACCTGAAACAGCATCCACTGACTCTCATAAAACCATCACTGGAAACGGTGTCCAGGAACCCAGGATGATATAATTCTCCAACTGAAACTTCTATACATACAGCGTTGTGGTTAATTCTGGGACCTACCCCTTTTCCCCTTTGGGAAGTCTGCCTTTCTGGGCCTCCGATCCTTCATGCACAGAGTCAAGGCAGTCATTCTCAGCTCTTCGAGGTCCTGGCAGACAACATCGTTTCATCATCACTGGAAAGAAAGACATTAAATAATTAAGCGATTATAACCTACAACGTTACTTCACATGAAAGTTCATGGCCCTGGAAATCGCATCTCTGTCTGCCAATTGTCATGCTACTGGGGCGCATCATTGTTCCCAATATACAATCCGCTATAGAGCGTCAGAAAGTCAAAGACAAGGAGAGTCCTGGCGGCCAACTACATCAAATCCTTTGTTTTCAGTTGAAGAGGTCCAGACTGGCTTAACTCAGTTAAGGTATGTAACTAGAATGAAAATTCACATTTTTAAAATCTTACTTCAATGTTATTTTCATCACACCAAATAAAAATATCTAAATAATGAGAACATAAATAGATCTCCATTTGGAATCCAACTGCTAAGAGATACCCAGTCACTTGCCCTAACCAAACTTCTCTAAGATGAGGGATGCTACTAAAGGCAGAGAAATCGGGTTTATTAGTAGATTGGGTAACTGACTCACAAAGAGACAGTGGTGGCCATGATCCGTGTCCTGAATGGCCTTTCAAAACACCTATAGTGACCTTTATGAAATAGGCTGCTGGTGTTGAGGAGGATAAATGATTAACAATTACAGGGACTCCATTTGAATCATGTCTGGGTCAAATTTCAATTGCAAGGCAAGAAACCTCAGTACAACCTCCCAAAGTAAGGTAGAGTCTATAAAGAATTTTAAGGATGAACAGATTTCCAGGGCCTGAATATGTAGACAAGATAACGGTATAAGGAAGACATTCACAGATTACCAAGAACCAAGTTATTTTTTGGTAAGTGGAGTCTATATAGGAAAATGTAGTTTGAGGTAAAATAGCACCAGCCAGTTAAGGATAGTTTTCAAGTTTCAGAAGATTTTAAATCAGGGAATGGGGAGGAAGATAGATACAAACACGGTGTTTGAGGTATCCAAGATTCAAATAAAGCAATCAGGGAGGAAGTGGAGAATACATCTGAAGAAATTGAGGATAATGAAATAGGATGCCCTCATCTAAGAACAAATGGAGGGGAGAAGGATGAAGGCCCAATCCAGCATGCATAACCGCTTCAAATAAACATTAAAGACTTACAGACCCAGTGGCCAGATGGGAACACTTGGCAATCGTGAGGACTGTGATATAATTAACATGGAATGGACCAGAGAGACTTGCTGCCAAGCAAAAACTCTGTATAGGAAGGATATGGTGCAGGCGCACAGGAGGGGATGGAAAGAAATTGAGGAACTCTATGGGGAAAAGAAAATACAATAGAATCACTGGGGGGTAGAAATGCCATAGGCCAGTTCTCTCTACCAGTGGGGGATACGTGCCAAAACCTGCAGTGGAGGCCCGACACCAGGGATTGTACCCAACCCTATGTCTACTGTGTTTTTTTCCTGCATACACATACCTATGATACAGTGTAATCTATGAATTAGGCACAGCACAAGATTAACAACAACAACAATAAAATAGAACCATTTTAACAATATACTGTAATGAAAGTTAGGTAAATGTGGTCTCTCTCTGTCAAAATATCTGATAACTGACTAAGGGTGGGTAGGATACACACGTGGAGCCACTGGCCAAAGTGCTGGTGCACGTCCTGCCCCAATGGGGTGGGTCGTGGGAGATTTCATAACGCTACTACTTATGAAATGTTTATTTTTGGAATACTTCATTTAATATTTTCGGACCACAGTTGACAGTGGGTAACTGAAACTGAAAGTAAAACCATGGACATGGGAGGACTCCTGTACTTAAATATCAAGATAAGCGGTTAGCCTATTTCAGTATAACCTGCAAGCAAAGTGAAGTTTTAAAAAACAAAAAAATGATACTATTTGAAAAGACACCATATTAAAAATCAATGTGCCCAAGTAGAAAAATATAAGGAATATCATACATAGCAGAACAAATGCAAATTTAAATGATTTAGATGCTAATTTTAAAAAAAATTGTAAGCCTAAAAAAATTGGGGAACATTTCTGAGGGACTAATCCTAATATTAAAATCCGTGTTAGAATCATGGGAGGCAGAAAGACGGCGAGAGAATCGATGAGGCCAACTGATTGATGATCACAATATGAAAAGTGCAGGCAGGTCTGAAAAGGAGGTTGCGGAATGAATCAGTTTATAAAGGAAGGCATTACCAACAATCTCACTCCTAAATTAACTTTTGAAGCAGATCAGTCACAGGTATAAAATCAAATAGCAATAAATAAACAATATGTTCTTGGCTGGATCAAGAATGAATTTTTTTAAAATATATTTTTTATTGATTTTTTTTACAGAGAGGAAGGGAGAGGGATAGTTAGAAACATCGATGAGAGGGAAGCATCGATCAGCCGCCTCCTGCACACTCCCCACTGAGGATGTGCCCGCAACCAAGGCACATGCCCTTGATTGGAATCGAACCCGGGACCCTCGAGTCCGCAGGCCAACACTCCATCCACTGAGCCAAACCGGTCAGGGCAAGAATGCATTTTTGTCATGATTTTCTTTCCCAAACTTGAATGATCACTAGGAATAAATGGGCTCTCCCCAAGAGGTTAGAAGAAATGCCAGTGGGAATTTTGGATCCACTGAAATTTGTGTAGACAGATCAATTCAATGGAGGCCTCCGAAGTGCCTGTCACACTGCTAATGTGACAGGCACCGAGGAGGAAGGACCAGAGGATATGATTGCCTATATGTTTCTAAATAGAATAATCTCTTGTCAGAAAGGCAAGAGAGCTTGTGCACCTCCCTAATACTGGGAAAGAGAATCCACTTGATGTCCTCCCTTTCAATACTCAGTGACACTTGGGAAAGATTCCATTTTTAAAAACTATGTGCATTTAATAACATGTGTAACTACAAAAGCAGTATCTATTCTTATATGAAATGTGGAAAACAGAGAAGCAAATGAATAAAATTAAAATCATCCACAATCTAGATCACAGAGATGTTCACTGCTAATATTTTGCTGAATATCATTTGGGATCAAACACAGAAGTTAATTAACTATTTTATCTTGGAAAAGAACTGACGCTGGCTCAAAAAAAATGAGAGAGAGAGAGAGAGAGAGAGAGAGAGAGAGAGAGAGAGAAGGATAAATATTTTTTAAAATGGTTCCAACTCACAAATGGATGCTAAGATGTAACAAGAGACTGTTTACAATAAAATCCTCAGGTTTGCCCATGACACTAAGTTCTTTTTAATAATGAAATATCATGCCATTATGCAGAGGAAACTGTGAAAATTTCACAAGTCTGCATATGGGAGCAGAAAACTGGCAGATGAAATTCCTCATAGGCAAGTGTAAGAGAACACATTCAGGGACCGTAAGACCAATTATTCTGGAAAAAGTGATGGAACCCGGGGTTTCAGTCACCATCTAGGCCAGTGATGGCGAGCCTTTTGAGCTCGGCATGTCAGCATTTTGAAAAACCCTAACTTAACTCTGGTGCCGTGTCACATATAGAAATTTTTTGATATTTGCAACCATAGTAAAACAAAGACTTCTATTTTTGATATTTATTTTATATATTTAAATGCCATTTAACAAAGAAAAATCAACCAAAAAAATGAGTTCATGTGTCACCTCTGACACGCGTGTCATAGGTTCGCCATCACTGATCATGGAGCATGCCATCATTATAGCTACACCTTAAAGACAATGTCCTTAAATGATGCGGAAGCCAATATTCTCATTCTATTCTCTAAAATAATCTTATATCCACAGCTCTGTGCTTTGACAAGTCTGCCTTAATAAGGGCCCAAATAATTCAAAGAAAAGATCAAAGAGGTCAAAGAAGTAAACACATGTGCCTATTAGAATCCGTGTTAATAACCGCATTCTCCAATCTGTAAACTCTAAATGTGATAGCTGAAATCTAAATGAGATGAAGTCTATGTAATTGAGTGGTATTTCTAGGTTCGATGAGGTTACTTAACAAGGGATACACAGTCTTTGGAAGGTCTATAAACCCCTCAAAATGGCATGCATGTTTTTCCATATCTGCATATAAATAGATGTATAAATAAAACTATATGTTTGTAATACATATATTTCTTCTGTTGATTCTGTTGAGCAAATGCATAGTTATCATCATATACTTACAGGATTCATAGCCCCAAAAGTTCAAGAACTAGTTGTCTAGATGCGAAGATTGTGGATTTGGACACTAATTTTTGGGAGCAGACTTTGAAACTTGAAAGAGAAAGTGTTAAGACAAATTAAGTTGTATTTACCCACGGAAAACAAGTATGTGGAGCTCCTTCCCCTGGGAAGCGCTATAGAATAAGGAGACATTTTTAGGGAATATTTGAGGAAGCTCTCTACGCTTATGTATGATATTGGGGTTCCTTGGGACAAAGACTGATGTCTGCTTTGTTCACTCTTCTATCCCCAGTGCTTGGAACAGACCTGGCACATTAGTAGGCACTCAGTAAATACTTGTTGTGCACTCAGGGGCTGGATGGGTTTGGGTGGCATGAGCAGAGGCAGTGGCTGCTTGAATGCCAGGTCCGTCTCTAGTGGCATTTCTGATATTCACAAGGGTGAGGCTGTTTCCTCCTCTGCCTTCCACATCCTCATCTGATTTTCTTGCTTGGCCATCTACCACTTTGAAGGCATCCAGATTGTGGAGAACATGCGCCATGCCAGCAAAGAATTATGCTAATTTGGCCTTGGAGGGACACAGGGGGGAAAAAAAAACAACCTAAAAATAAAATATCAAAGCAATAAAAAGCTTATAAGAGTTTATGAACATAAAACATGTACCACTGTTAAATGGAATACTGTCAAGCAGATTAATTAGTTAACATTTGGAAAGTGCACTGAAGATGAAAATTGCCAAATAAGGTCTTTGTATAGTGAACCAGTTTCTCACTTGTTATAATGGGGTGGCATGAGAGACAGGTCCACAAATAACTGAGACAACGGGCATGGCCAAGAGGCTATAGAGGGCCCCGGGGAGGCTGAGTCCAGCGGAGCCCTTCCCTAGGGTTTCCGTAGAGCGTGCTTCCCGAGTGTCTGTGAGCTTACAGCTGCGGGACCACAACGCTAACGTCCTCTGCTTCTGTTTGCCAATTCCTCCCACCCTCTTGGGCTTGAAGTCCGCTACGGTTAGGTCCCTTATAGGGTTCCTCTTAGGACCAACTGAAGACTTCATAAATAGCCTTGTTAGCTAATTCCAACCTTAACTTAGATTTTGTTGAAATGGGGCTTTAGCCCTACCCCATGGGTAGATTATAGTTTAATGATGTTAAAATAGTGAGCTATCCAAATATTCTTGAAACCCAGCATGACAAGAACCAGAGCTCAGTACCAAGGGCTACCGCTCTCTTGTGCAATCAGAACAGATACGCTCCCTGGAGGAAGAGTCAGTGAAGGGAGACTCTCGAATCAGAAATCGTCCAGACTCAGTAGGCAGTAGCATCTGAAACCAAACTCTTTCAGTAGGATTTGTCTCTGAAAGAAAAAAATATTTGTTCCACCTGTTTGATATAGTTTTACGTGTCTATACAGCATTTTTATTTGGGCCAGCATTTGTTTTGATTTGATTAAATTTTAAGGTTCTTCCTACTTCCAAAAGGACTGAGGAAGCTTATAGATTAAAACAAAGCACAGAAAAACTAAAGAACTTAGAGATAAGTAGGACAGATAAAGGATTCCCATGCTGGAATTCATAAGACACAGTATAGTTTAGTAGAAAAAAGTATAGAAACTAAAGTTTACAAATCCTGGGCTCTAGCCATAACTCTGTCCCCAAAGAACTGTGCAGTCTTGTGCAATCTTTATTCCATTGGCAAAACAAAGTCTGGAAGTTTAAAAAATAGTATGGGCATCAGTATGTCAGACAAAATGGAGTGGGTGAGATTGTAAAAGGAACCGTTAAAAGGGAAAAGTGTAACCCAATTGCAGGGGTATTGGCAGTAGAAATTGAAAGAGAAAAAGGAGAAAAGAAGCTTTTCACAGAACTTGGAAATCGACTAGATATGAGAATGAGCAAGAATGACTCCAAGTTGACTTTGAGCCTTTGTGGCTGGGAACGTGCTCCTGCCGTGAATAGGAACAAGAGAGATGTTTCTAGGAGAGGGAGGGAGGCCAGGACTGAGGAGGACAAACTCAGTCTTGTCCTGTGGAGTTTGAGATGACGGAAACCATCCAAGTGAAATATCTCAGAGTTGTGTCTGGGGTGAGCTGCACCGGAGGAGGGAGATAAAAACTGAAGTCAGATGAGGACACTTGGGAAA